ATAGCCATCTTTACTTCTTCTTTTGAGAACTCTGTTCAGCTCCTTAGCCCAGCTTCTTGTGTTGATTCTCAGTTTTTTTAATTCGTTATATATTCTGGATATTAAACCTCTGTCGGATGTGTTGCTGGTAAAGATTTTGTCCCATTCTGTGGGTTTTCTGATCGCTTCCCTGGTTGCCACCTTTTATATACAAAAGCTTTTTAGTTTAATGTGGTCCCATTTGTTAATTCTTGCACTTGTTTCCTGAGCAATTGATGTCCGGTTTAGAAAATCCTTTCCTACACCTCTATCTTGTAGATTTTCCCAACGTTTTCTTCTAATAATTTCAGAGTTTCAGGCTTCACATTGAGGTCTTTGATCCATTTAGGATTGAATTTTGTGCAGGGTGAAAGATAGGGGTTTAGTTTTCTTGGCCCCTTTGTCAAATATCAGGTGGCTGAAATTGCATTTACTCATATTGGGTCTTCAATTTTGTTCCATTGATCTATGGGTCTATTTTTGTGCCAGTACCATGTTGTTTTTATGACTATAGCTCTGTAATACAGCTTAAAATTTGGTATAGTAATCCCCCCAGCATTGCTCTTAGTGCTCTTAGTGCTGAGGTCTTTTGTGCTTCCATATGACTCTTAGGATGGTTTTTTCCAATTCTGTGAAAAATGTCTTGGGGACTTGTGATTGGCATTGCATTGACTCTATAAATGACTTTCGGTAGGATGGTCATTTTCACAATATTAATTCTTCCAATCCATGAGCATGGGAGGTCCTTCCATCTTCTGATGTCTTCCTCAGTGTCTTTCTTTAAAGATTTAAAGTTTTGATTATAAAGCTGTTTAATGTCTTAGGTCAGGTTTATTCCAAGATTTTTTTTTTTTTTTTTTTGCACCTATTGTGAAACGGAGGATTTCCATGTGTTTTTTCTCTGTTTGCTTTTTTTTGGTATATAGAAAGGCTACAGACTTTTGTAGGTTAATCTTGTAACCTGCCACTTTACTGAACTTGTTAATAATTTCTAGGAGTTTTCTGGTGGAATTTTTGGCATCTCTTAGATATATCATCTGCAAAAAGGGAGAATTTCATTTCTTCTTTTCCAATTATTACTCCTTTAATTTCCTCCTCTTGTCTTATTGCTCTTGCAAGAGTTTCAAGCACTATGTTAAAGAGAAGTGGAGATAGTGGTCAGCCTTGACTGCTTCCTGATTTCAATGGGAATGGCTGTGGTTTGTTATATATGGCTTTAATTATGTAGAGGTATGTTCCCTCCCGTCCAATTCTCTCTAGGACTTTGAACATAAATGCATGTTGAATTTTGTCAAAGGCCTTCTCTGCATCTATTGAGATGACCATGTGGTTCTTATCTTTGAGCTCATTTATATGATTTATGATGTTTATTGACTTAGATATATTGAACCATCCCTGCATCTCTGGGATAAAGCAGACTTGATCATGGTGGATGATCTTTTTGATGTGTGTCAGGTAATGTTCATTCTGGGGTGTGGAGACAGTTAGCTCTGCCTAGGTATTTTTGAGTGGCCTTCTAAAGAAAATGAAGTCCGAGAAGTCTAGACCCTGAGAATGCTCTTTTGGGACAGAGGCGCAATTAGATCTTATGTAGTAGCAGTGACCCTTGGAAGCTGCTATAATCAGAGACACTGAAAATATGTCCCTAATGAATAAGTTTCAGAAGAATAGCAACTATCTGGGTGTGTGTGTGTGCGTGCGTGCGTGTGTGTGTGTGTGTGTGTGTGTGTGTGTGTGTGGTGTACTCATGTGCACATGCATGTGTGTGTGTGTGTGTGTGTGTGTGTGTGTGTGGTGTACTCATGTGCACATGCATATATGTGGGTGCTCACACCTGTGCACATGCACAGAGGCCAGAAGTTGCATTGGGTGTTTTCCTCTATTGTGCTCTGCCTTTTCCTTCTGAAAGGCATCTCCCTGAACTTGGAGCTTACTCTGAGCTAGATTGGAAGCCAGCAAGCCCCAGTGATCCTCTTGTCTCTGTCGTCTTTAGGACAGGCATTTGTGGGGATGCCAAGCTATGTGTGATGGGATCAGAATGCTAGTCCTCATGATTGCAAACCAAGCACTCTTGATTGCAACCCTCAAGCCCCTTGTTTGTTTTTGTCGTTGTTATTTTTTTTTATTTTGTGTTTTTGAGACAGAGTCTCCCTGTAGCCCCAGCTGGCCTGGAATTCACTATATAGAGAGACCAAAGGTGTGCGCCATCACACTGGCTCTTTTTTTTTTTTTTTTTTAAGTGTGTAGCCACACTGACCTAGAAAACTCTGTATTTGCCCAGAGTGAACTGGAACTCAGAATCTTCCCTCTGCCTCCTGACTGCTAGGAGTATAACCCAACAACAGTCCTTATTTTATGTCTTCTTTTTTTAAAAGATATATGCATATGCTGGAAGAATTGTCCCCCCCCCCCTTTGTTCTTGGAAGGACACTCACTGGTGTTAGAGATACTTTATAAATTCGAGAACTTGATTTTCCTACTTACCTTTTGTTCTTCTAAAGCACATGTGAAAAGAAAAATGTTCTTTTAAAAAACCTAGCCAGTTCTCATGGCTGGATTACTAAAAGTGTGTCGCGGTTTCGGACAAATTGTGGGAAAGATGAAAAGTGCACAAGTGTGGCGGATGGGGTCTTTTATGCCCTTGAGGAGCCTAGAGGTTCTGTGGAGGGTCAGTAGGTCACCTGAGAAATGTGTGGGGCCCTTCAGAGCTTACTTGTGACTTGCTGCAGGAACTACTGAAGCAGGTATGTGCAGATGTGCTCTCTACCTGCGAGCACCGCCTCTCTGACATCGTCCTGAAGGAAGATGGGGCAGGAAATATGGATGAAGAGCTGGTGGTAAGCTGTTGCTTTTGCTTTATCTCCTTTTCATAACAGGGCTATGAAGACTCATCCTTTTAAGGATGAGTTTATAATGTATACTTTAACAGCTGTTAACAGGAAAGGGGCTCTTACAGCTTACTTTAAATTATTATTAATAAGCCTTCCATTTTTATTTATGTACATAATCGAGCACTAGCCAATTTGATCTTACAGGCAGGCCTTGTTACAACAGGGCGAACACAGTGTTTTAACAGCTTGATAGAGTCAAGCTTAGAAATAATAAACTAAGATGATAAGAGTATAGTCTTTGGGCTTTTGATTTGACCTTTTTTTTTTTGGTCTTTTTGAGACAGGGTCTCCCTGTAGCGGGGCTGGCCTGGAACTCACTATGTAGACCAGGCTGTCCTTGAATTCACAGATACTTGCCTTCCTCTGCCTCCCGAGTCCTGGGATTAAAGGCATGCACTAGCACCATCAGCCTTGATTTGACTTTTAAAATAATTATAACATATGCTGGAGAGATGGCTCATGGCTCAGCAGTTAATAACACTGTTCTTGTAGAAGACCTGGATTCGAATCCCAGCACCCACATGGTAGCTAACAACTATCTGTAACTCCAATTCCAGGGGATCCAGCAGCCTCTTCTTTCCTCTGTGGGCATTGCACGACACGGGTGCATTTACATGCAGGAAATACATGCATACGTATAAAATAAAATTGTAACATGTCTTCTGTGTTGTTTAAATGTTGGACCATACTACTAGGGATAGAGCTAACCTGTTGTGTGAAATAAAAGAGATTTGAATATCCAGAGCCCTCTGACAGAACTGGGTTGTAGGTGATGCTCAATGGCAGTGTGAAAGACCCGTGTGAGCCAGGACACATGAGGCCTTGGGCTGTTAACCAGGCAGATCAGTAATTCTTCTGATTCTAGCATCTGACACTAATAAAGGACATAATGAAGACCATGATATTTTTAATGCTCTTTAGTATTTATGAAGTAGAATGCCATTAAAAACATAAAAAACATTTTTCTCATCTGTTTAGATTATTGGAACAACTTTTCTGTGTTCAGTTCCTACTCAGCTAACTCAGCCCTTGCAGTTATAGTTGATTTTAGACCAGGGTTAGATTATAATATAAGGCCACTGTGCCTGCAGCACTGTCTGCACACATTCAGTGATTAAACAGGATCACTGCAGAAATCTGGATGCTCTACAGCACAGACTTGGCAGAGTTTTAGAGTTTTTAACACCAAGAAAAATGCTTGTTATGGTCAGTTCCCCCTGCCCAAATATTCTGTTGTTATTGTTCATCTATTAAATATGTCACCCAAATCTAGTCTTTAGACAAATGATAATGGAGTTTTCCCCTACATATATTGTTTAATTTATACTTCTCTAAGTAGGGTTTAAATATTTTTTAATCCATTATGAGATAACCTTATATTCAAGATTTTTAAAACCCAAATACATTTGCTATTAAATTTTTTATCGTAGAGTAAGGTTCTGTTTCATCTATTTGAGGCAGGATATTACTCTGCTGCTCAGGTTAGTCTAAACGCCTGGGCTCAAGTTAACTCCCATATCTCCCCCCTACTCCTAGTAGCTAAGATTGCAGACATGCATATACAGTTGACCTAGCTCTAAAATAAGCTTTCACTTGACATTTTATTTTTAATTATACTCATCCATCTTTGTGATAAAGAAAAAGGAACAGTATTATTTATCAAGCGGCGTGCCATTAAAAACATGTAAGTGGTGGAAGCAGGTCTTTGTGTGCTCTAAGTAGGATTCTGAATAGTAACCAACCTGGAAGACAGTTCAGAGATTGTGTTAAATGAGTTTACATGCTTTTTTATTTTTTAAGTTTAAAGTGCTGGGGATCAAACCCAGGGCCTGGAGCATGCTAAGCAAGTGATTTCTTCCACTGAGCAAGATTCCCAGCCCCTTACATGGTCTTTCAGTCTGGATTTCACTGCTAAGAAAATCAAACAGTATCCAAGATTACAGAAGTATTCACCAGAGCTGGTATAAAGTTAGAAATAAAGTATATAGTTACTAACTGTGAAATAGTCAACAAAATCATGATGAAATTCATAGATTTACATATATCTTTATATACAGTCACTAAATTTATTTGTTGTGTATTGACATGAAGAGGTAACACCTACTGTCACAGCATGGTTAGTAATTGAATCCTCAGTGATTCACAGAAGTGTCGGGACTTGGGTAATAAAAATACATGAATATCTTGATTTGGAATGAATATTACTAAGTAGCAGCTGAGTTTTTATAATATTTATGAATTTTTCTGAAAAAGTAGTGAAGTTTTTGTAATCTGTGAGACAAGAAAATTCTCTTGACATGCTGTTACACAACCTACAGATAATTTCCCTTTTGCTTTATTTTTACTACAAAACAATTCTCTTTGCAGGTGAAATACATTTTTACCATAGGCGATATAGCCCAGCTATGCCCAACCATAGTAGAGAAGCGAGTCTTCCTTCTAATCCAGTCCATTCTGGCTTCCTCTGCTGATATGGATCTCTGTAAGGCCCTTGAAGTCATACCCTACACCATGGTGTCTTAAGGCTCAGTTAATTGCTGAGGTGCTGCCAATAAACCCTTTTGTCTTCCCTGTAGTATCATCACCTCAAGGACCAACTGATGTCCCAGCCAATCAGCTGCCCTCCCAGGTCAGAGGCTCTGCCATGCCTTCTGTAATTAGAGCACATGCCATCATCACCTTAGGTAAGGGTACCATATGGGGAAATGTGGGTTGTATAGTTTGTTTCTGTGTAGCTTAATCACAATAATGTGCTTTGTGCTGTTGAGGCTATACTTAGTCTAGCTTTTGTGAAACACATATATATGATTTTATGTGTATGAATGTTTTATGTATATGCATGCATGTAAGTGTACAACTTGCATGTAATGCCTGCCAAAGCTAGAAGAGGTGTCCAGTCCGACGGAACTGGAGTTGCAGACGGTTGTTAGCCACCATATGAGTGCTGGGAACAACACAGATCCTTCGCAAAAGTAGCAGTGCTCATAACCACTGTGCCACCTCTCCAACCCCAGCTTTTGTGATTTTGATATGAAGGCCCAGCTCTGTAGATGTAACAGTGTGCTGACCATGAGAGTCCTTGGAACTGTAACTTTGTGTAGTAATTACTTCTCTTGTCACTGGGACCAAATATCTGACAGGCAGTTTAAGGGAGTAGAAGCTTATTTTGGCTTCTACTCCCTACTGTACCCTACTCAGAGGGTATTACAGCCCATCTTACAGTGGGGAAAACATGAAGTGGCTGGTCATTTCAAGACAGCAGATTTCTCTACCAGAAGCCAGGCTAAGATAGGATCCTCAAAAGCTCACCCCTAGTAACTCTTGTCTCAAAGGTTCTACAACCTTAGGAAACAGAGGCAGGTGGATCCCTGGGACTCATTGCATCGCCTGCCTAGTCTACCTGGCCAGTGAAAGACTATGTACCATCAGAAAGGTGGATGGTGCCCAAGGACATTCAAGGTTGTCCTCTGTCCTCCTCAGGCACATACACACATATGCACATGGACTTATGTATGCACATGCATATGTACATACGAAAAAGGAAAGAACTGTGTTTTAGATACTACACTGAGATTTAGGAATGGAAAAATTTGAAGTTCAGTTTATAAAAGGAGATAGTTTATTTAATACTTTCCAGAACTGTCAGATGAGCTATAAGCATATTTCTCCATGCACTCAAATTGTTAATCTTGAACACACTGACCTCTGGCTATAATTTGAATGTTCTTTCTTTTAAAGTGATGGTGCATTTTATGGTAGATAGAGGTCTGAAAAAAAATTTTTTTTTGGTAATGGTTATTTTGAAAATACTTTAGAATTGCAAGTAAGAGCAAAACATTCCCAAGGCCAAAGCAAATACACAAGAGAATAAAATCAACCAGCCTTCCTAACTGTGAACAAGAACTAAAACAAATGAGGCAATATTCTTTCCTGTTTACCTAGCTGACATTTCTAATTAAATAAAAAGGGTATTTAGAGCATATGTATAATCAAAAGTAAAGTGACTTGTGTTAGGTTTTACTGATCATTTTCTACATAAGTAAATAACTGTAAAATTCAGAGTTTAACTTTAAACAGAAGATGATTTTATTAATGCAAAGGAATGACCATGTGTCTCATGAAACTTTTGATGGAATTTATTTTCCTAATGCTATTTTGAACTTTCTAATATTTGTCTATCTTCACACTTGCTTTTGTTATTGTTGTGATTGTGAGCATGTTTTAACCTTAGTAAAACCCATAGAGTAGAATCCAGGCACCTTCCTCTCTTCCATGACAGGTAAACTGTGTTTGCAACATGAGGACCTTGCAAAGAAGAGCATCCCAGCCCTTGTGCGGGAACTTGAGGTGTGTGAAGATGTGGCTGTGCGCAACAACGTCATCATTGTCATGTGTGATCTTTGTATCCGGTACACCGTTATGGTGGACAAATATATTCCCAATATTTCCATTTGTCTGAAGGATTCAGATCCATTTATCCGAAAGCAAACACTCATTCTGCTTACCAACCTCTTACAGGTATGTTGAAAATTAGCCTGTTCTTTTTCTGCTCTACCACTGCTGCTGGTTTAAGGGAATGTTTAGTTAGCAATGAGAAATGTGCTTGCTTTATTGTAGAATCCAAAAATAATTATCCTCATCTCTAGTTTAGAATATCACTCTAATAATGCTAGTACTGCCTTTTAAACAGCTCTTTAACCTGCATGTATTCATTTGGGTTGTTTATACAGACATCCTGTCAAGCAATGCAAAGTTCCATTTTTGCACATAAACACTGTGTATAGATAAGCACTCTCAGTGACAAGTAGTTCTAGTTCTGTTATTCTTCTTGAACTTGAGCAAGTCCATGTTTTTCAGTCGCAAGTCTTCTGTTTTTAAATGTAGATCATAATATTTGTGTTGGGCTGTCTTACAGCATTGCTCCAAGAGTCCAGTGAGCTATTTCATTGTGTCAGAACATAGTGAACTACAAAGCTATGTAGAGCCTCTGATATTTTTCTGTACATTGAGAACATGTGGTTATTCTGTAATGAGAAGGAAATAACATTCGATGATTTAAAAGAAGCTCATGTTCTCATGCGTTAATACCTGGTATGGCACCAGTGGCTCTTCCCATTAAAGCCATGTGCTTTGTGTCATTTTTCCTTACACAAAAGATTTTATAAGATTTTACTCACAAAATCTTCTCTATTTCTTTCAACTAACAAATGCTATGTGTTTTCAAAAAGGTTGGGAAGTGCATACTATTTCTAAACTAAGCACACATATCCCAGATGGACTAGTAGCCTGCAGACAGGATGTCATTCAAAGGAAGGGCATCTAATGTTTGCATATTAAAATTCATCCTGAAATATACTGATTGCTTTTACAGGAAGAATTTGTGAAGTGGAAGGGTTCTCTGTTCTTTCGATTTGTCAGCACTCTGGTAGATTCACACCCAGACATTGCCAGGTAAATCCTTCCCTCTATGTCAGGTAGCTCAACAGTTTACCTGCTTTCTGGTAAGCACTATCTTTTCTTTCAGAATACAGTTTAGTTTTTTGGGATTTATTAAGCTTTTAGCAATTGTGAGAAAAGTTTAGAATACTAACTTTTTAGAACAGAGTTTGTATATTCATGTTAAAACCAAAACTAACCAAATTCGTAATTAAATAATCTCAACTTTGACTACATTTGCTAACATTGTTTGCTTTCCCTAAAGGAGTAATAAAGCATCGTCTGTGTCTGTCATATTAGACTATATAGTATAGAAGCCATTAGCTGTTGACTTAACTGGTGATTTCTAGGCAAAAGAAAGAAAAAAAAAAAACCAGTTAATTTTGATAAAGCGATCCAACGTTCTTCCAAGTACAGAAATTGTAAGGAAGAAATTCCAGGAATGAAGAATGAACTGCACAGTGAAATACAATATACAAATTGCAGGGGTCCTTGGAAATGGGTGTGTCTTGAGAACTACAGGGGAAAAGTGTTATTTTGCCATTTGTTAATTCCTGTTAGTATATTTTTTAAGGCTTATTTTCAAGTGATTGAGAAATGTCCTCAGAGAATTTGAGTTTGCTACCTCAGATTATGTTGTATGAATAATTATTTTTAAAGCAAGTCTTTATTTGGGAAACAGAATGTTGAATGGCATGGCAGAAGCCACCACAGTGGAGAAGAAGTCTTTACAGAGGTCATTAACTATAAATAGCTTGTAATAATGGCTCCCTCTAACTCTAAATATGCTCACCAATGATTTAGTCTAAATTCCATGGAAGAATTGCTGCTGAGCTTTCTTTGAGTGTAATTTTCCAAAGGGGAACATTTCACATAATATCATAGTAGACGGTTAACCTTCTAATTAATATTGTCTAGAGCCAGAAGCAAAAAGCTAGGTCTGTCAGTTTTTCTAAGATGGCTGTGCTGCTCCTACCTACCTTTAGTGTTGCCTAGCACTCACCCTTATGGCTAGCTCCCTACATAGTGCACAGCCTGTGGCAGACAAGAGTGCTGAGATGCAAGATTATTTAACTTGTATTTCCATCTTTACTCTCATTTTTATTAGCTCCTATATGAGCGTGTTTAAAAGAAGCAATAGACATGTTTAACTTGATTTAAACATTTTACAATAAATACATGTGTTGAAACATCACATGGTATCCCATAAATATGTACAACTTATGTTTTTATGTATTGGTTAAAAATTAAATTTTAAGGACTGGAGAGATGCTTCAGTGGCTAAGAACACTGGCTGCTCTTGCAGAAGATACAGGTTCGATTCCCAGCACCCATATGGCGGCTGACAACCGTCTGTATCTCCAGTTCCAGGGGAATCAGACGCCGTCTTCTGACCTCCGCAGGCCTTGCACAGCACGGGTGCACTTTCATACATGTAGGCAATACACTCATATACATAAAAAATAAAAATAAATAAATTAATTAAAAGTTTAAGAATAAAAATATATTTAAAGAGGAACATTAATCAGTGCATAAAATTTATACAGATGTGAATACAGATACTCAGAGCATCAGTCAGGGGGATATTAGAGCAGGTAAAGAGATTTCTTACACTATGGTAAGATTATCAGCACTAATAGCATTTTATTATTCCTTCCTTAAATTGTTCATTTTAAAAAGTATCACATTTTATTTATTTATTGTATATGTGTGTGGGCACATACTTGCCATAGCCTGTATGTGGAGGTCACAGGACAACTTGAAGGAGTTCTTTCCTTTCACCATGTGGGTCCCAGAGATCGGGACCCAGGCTTAGTAGCAGGGCACTTTGATCCACCAAGCCATCTCACCAGCCCCTTTCAGTTTTATCTCTGTATTCTGAATTTATTTAAATTATGGTTCAAATGTGGACAAAAGTTCTTTTCTTTCAGAAAAGCTGATGTCTACATTTGCTAGGTCAAAGTCAGGCTTTTCTTTGGTTTTTTTGCCAGAAGAGGGTGCCATATCCCTGGAACTGGAGTTGCAGACCATGTGAGCTGCCATATGGGTGCTGAGAACTGAACTCAGGTCCTCTGCATGAGCAACAGGTGCTGTTAACCACTGAGCCATCTCACCAACCCCTATATCTGCTTATATTAAGTGGATTAGTTTCTCCATATGTATAATTCAGATTTTACAAAGCCTATAGAGGGAGACCTTACTGAATTTATTTTTGGTCCAGCTGGATTTCTTGAAGATTCTGGCATGAGGAAATTGGGGTAGGAGAAAGGATGAACAGAGATTGAACCCACGGCCTTGTAGATGTTAGTTAAGTGCTCTACTATTGAGCTACATCCCGACCCATCCTTCATTTGTCATATAATATCCCCCCCCCCTTTTTTTTTCTGTCTTTTTGAGACACAATCTCCCTGAAGCCCCAGCTGGCCTGGAACTCACTATGTAGACTAGGCTGGCCTCAGTCTCACAGAGATCCATCTGCCTCTGCCTTCTGAGTGCTGGGGTTAAAGTTAGCATGTGCCACCACACCTAGCCTTAAACCCAAAATATGAGACTACAAAATTGTGTGATATATTTTCTCCTCTGCCCATGAGATGATGGCCTTGTAGTCCAGTAATCACATGGTGATAGCCAAGTAACAAGCCAACTATTTAATTAGGCAGTTGCTGCAGAAGTATAAGAAGGCAGGGCCAAAGAAGTTCCAGGCCAGAAAGTGATTGATGGAAACAAAGTACCAATGAGAAAAAAAAAAAAAAAGGCACAAAAAACAAAGGTGTCTTTGTTTGGGAGAATAAGGCATGAATCCACTATGTAGAGAGCTTAGTGAAGTTGTGGAATAGTGTGATGGGGTGGCGGGGTCAAGACAGCTGGGAAGATAGGATTTTCTCAGAGTGGGCTCTTTAACGCAGTGCAGTGACGTAGTCCATGACAGGACGTGGTGACATGCAGTACCAGTGCAGGTTACTGGAGGCAGTGAAGTCTGGGAAGTGGCAGGCTAGGGTGGCAGTTGTACTTCTGTGAATCTTGAAGACAGTCTGAATCCTTTTAGGATCTGGCATGGAGAGTAGCAGAAACAGTGGCTGTAATGCTGGCCCAACAGTACGTCCATTGCTGTAACTGGCAGCCAACTCACTCCCCTCCCTTGCCTTCTCTTTCCCCAAGTTTAAATTTCTTTTAACTTTGCAGCAAACAAAAAGGAGCCCTTCTCCAGTATATCACTCATAAGAGTCCAATCAAGACTGAAACTTGCTGCTTTAATAAAGCCCTAGTAACTGTCACAGCAAGATCAGATATTGGCTCTGACTGTGAGTTCTCAAGACAGAAAGCTCTATGGCAGCTTTCAGCCCTGAGCATAGCAATCCTGGGGGAGCTTAAGTGGCAGTTACACTTATTTGTGTAGCTTCCATTAGGGTACCGAGTCTATAGTATCTAACCTATCAGTTACCTTGCTGATCTGGATTCCTGGATTCCTGCCTAAAAACTCTAAAATCTCTAAAATTTGATCTGAAATCAAAAATTAAAACAACCTCTCTTCTTAATGAAGAATTAACAGATTGTGTTTTCTAAATTTTCATATTGTGAATTTACATCTGGGGGAAAGTTCAGGTAGACTTGAATACCAATGTGCCATAGCAGGTTGACCATAGAAAGAGCACAAAAGGAAAATTCTTAGTCTTTGTTTCCTTGGGGGATATGTTGTTATTATTTATTTAATGGTTTTCCCCATTCTCTTCACAAATGGTTTGCCAAGGTAACCTTAGTTTAGAAAGAACGTCATCTGATGGTGACCTTCTTTGCCTTTCAAACGTAGATTTCTAAACAAAACACTCATACCTGTAATCTCAGAACTCTAGTGGTGGAAAACAGGAAAATCAGGAGTTCAGCTACATAGCAAGTTCTAATTCAACTTGAGCTACATGGGACCCTGTCCTGAAGGAGTGTACTGACTACTCTTAGATTAAAAGGGTTCTTCTAGCTAGCCTTAAAAGAAATGTCCTCAGGGACTTCTTTTATTACACAAAGTTGTATTTGCTGCCATATTTGAAAGTCAGCCTGCTGCCTTACTTCCTGGGCAGTTAGAGCCTGATTATACTGATTATACTTTTAAAAACCTAGTCTTTTTTTCTTTTTTGTGATGTCATGATCATTGGGTACACACAGATGGGATAGTACTAGAAAAATGGAAGTCAGGATTGAAATCCTGTCAATATTATGAAGAAGCAGTGGCAGTTGTAAAATTGTGTGACCAATTAAATGCAGAAGGGGAGAATTTTTCTCCAAAAAGACACAGTGTCTTTTGAGAGACAGGGTCTCACCATGCAGCCACAGCTGCCCTGGAAGTCAGAGAGATCTTCCTGCCTCTGCCTCCCTACTGCTGGGATTAAAGGTGTGCACCACCACGCCCCACTTATTTATTATTTTTAAAAATATATTTTATTTATGATTTAATAAAAATAAATAAAACCTGATGGAGAAAGCCTATTATGGATGTTGGGTTTAAAATGAAACAATGAGTGAGGACAGACAAACGCAAGTGTTTTGATCTAATGAAGCTGTTCATTGGGGTAAATTTCAAATACTGTGTTTTTGTTTTTCAGAGTTCTTAGTATATTTGTAGAAGCTGTCTGTGACTGGCAATGGGTCTCCTTCTCTCTTTGCAGCCTTGGGGAATTTTGCCTGGCTCACTTGCTATTGAAGAGGAACCCTACCTTGTTTTTCCAGTACTTCATAGAGTGTATATTCCACTTCAACAGCTATGAGAAACATGAGAAGTACAACAGGTTTTCCCAGTCAGAGAGGTAGGTGGAGCTGCGAAGGAGGTTGATCTCCTTGTCTGTCTGGAAGAGCTTGGCTGTTTCACCTGCAGAGATTGGACACTGACGCTCACGACTGTCTGCTGTGGTGGTCATTAGTTTCCTGGCAGGATGACGGGAGCACATTCAGTCATAACATAATCCTAAGGGATTCTTTTATCTGTAATGCCATCGATCCTTGTAGGTGTGGCTGGCACGCAGCCTTTAGGATGCTGTATTCAGTCTCTGTCACCTGTATCCACACAGTGCAGTGACATTGTCCTGTTCTGCCACAGAGAGAAGCAGCTGTTTTCACTTAAGGGAAAAACAAACAAGGAGAAGCGGATGAGACTCTACAAGTTTCTTCTTGAGTACTTCACAGATGAGCAGCGATTCAATGTCACTTCCAAAATCTGCCTTAGTATTTTGGGTAAGTCCAGTGCGTTCGGAGTGACTGTGTCCTTAAAAATAAAATGCTGTGTTAATGATGGCCTAGCAGATCTGTAACAAATAGGACCTGGCACTGTGGCAAGACTGTCTTTTTGTCCTTCTTCTGGCATCAACTCTCTCTTTTAGAAATCCCTCCTCCTTGCAGGTTGCAGGTCCTTTCAGCCCCAGACTTGCCCCATTCTTTGAGCTCCCCTTGCCCACTGGGCTAAGAGTTTCTCAGAAGCTGGTCTCCTGTGCCATCTTTCAGCATGCTTCACTGATGGCATCCTGCCCCTGGACATGGAAGCCAGCGAGTTGCTCTCAGATACGTTTGACATCCTCAGCTCAAAGGAGATCAAGCTTTTGGCAATGACGGCTAAAACCTACAAGGACCTCCTGGAAGAAGATGACATGGCCTTGGCAAACGTAGTCATGCAGGAAGCCCAGATGAAGCTCATCTCACAGGTGTGTGTATACTCTGCTTGTCCTCAGTGGGTTATGTACCTGGGTCCTGGAGCCATTCTTACCAGTGCTCAGATGGTAACAGTCTCTGCCTCTACCTATGGCTCCTCCTGAGCCCAACTGTGCAGACTGTCTACTTGCCTGCCTGGATGTGCCATGGGTGTCTCAAATTTACTCTATCAAAGCTGAATTAATCATCTCTTCCTTCTTCCAGTCTGCTGTGGACAAGGGAATCATTATATAGCAAAGGCATATGTAGCCAGAGGTCCCTTTCAGATAATTGTCCTACAATAGAACGTAGGTCAGGAGTCTGGCAGGCTAGGAATATACTTGGGTTGACAAATTCGGTGACTGAAAAAGCCTTGTTGCTGTAGTCCTTACCTGGCTCTGTGTTCTTGTGCCTCGGTTGGGTGTCTGGTTTGTATTTCTCACTTGATCCTTGAGGCTTTTCATCTCATGGAAATAGACTTTGATTATATTAAGTTTGCCAGAAGAGCTTGTCTTTTTTACTTTTGGGTCTGTCTTTCTCTTGCCTTTCCACTGATTCTTTTAAAGCCTGTTACCATTTCCCATAAATACCCTTTCTGTCTTAAATATTTTCTCTTGGGACCATGAACCACTGTGCTGCTGGAACAGTCTTTCTTATGTGAAAATATGATCATTTTATTCTCTCTAGCATACACTAAAGGTACATTGACAGAGGCAGCAAGGAACTTTTGGGATGGTGGGTTATAGATGATCTGTGGTATTGGTCACTTACTATATACTTTTGTCAGTGCTCATGAACCCTTCTCTTGAAATCTGTAAATGTGTTAGATGTTGTATCTTTTAAAACTGTATTGATGGGAGTCCTGTCACTTCCAAATAAAATCCCAATTCTCCAAAACAGAAAACTGCCAGTCCTCGGCCCACCCCTTTCCTTCCCTCCTCAGGCTTGTGTTCCTGTTCCGTGCCTTTGGTACTGATTCTTCTGTCCGCAGTGCCCTCTCCACACACACAGCCCTCATCCCCTCACTTCTAAGCATCATCACAGAGAATCCTCCAGTGCTCATCTCTTTCTTCTTCTGTCTTTCCTAGACATCCCTCTTACCCTGCAACTTATCACCTCATGCCATTTGTCACAACACAAACTGGTTTGGAAGCAGTTTGAGGTCAAAAATTCCTTTTTTTTCCCTCTTTTTTCTTTCCTTTTCCTTTTTTTTTTTTGAAACAGTGTACAAAAGACCAGGCTGGCCTTGATCTCACAGAGATCCACCCTCCTCTGCCTCCCAAATGCACTTGACAAGAATTCATTCTATCTCCAGAGGTTAGCATGTGTCTGGGCAGAAAATGTGCTTGATAATACCTGCTGAGCAAATACATTTAGGCCATTTTTTAAGACTTCTTAAGCTTAAAGTTCAGATGGTTACTTTTCTGTTGAGCATGATAAAATACCATGACCAAGTCAACTTATAAAAGAAAGAGCTTATTTTGACTCATGGTCCCAGAGGGCTCCGGCCCATAATGAAAGGAACAGTGTGGCACCAAGAGCAGGAAGGTGGCTGATCACATTTTGTCCATGCACAGAAAGTAGAGAGAGAAGCGGAAGTGGACAAGACTGCACCTCCTAAAGGTTCCATGACCTCCCCAAATGGCACCAAGTAGGGACCAAGTATTCAAATACATGAACCTATGGGATATATTTCTCATTCAATCCACCAGAATGTGTTTATTATATTGAATTTTTTCTGCTTTTCCATCATTTTAGGGACTCTGGCCCAAACTTTTAGAAATGAGTAATATACAAGTAAGAAGCACTATTAGCTTTGCAGGAGAAGGAAAGTATGTTTCAGCTTCAGAGAGATATCTTATATATGGAGAGCACTGTTGTGAACTACTTTTAATTCTAAGATGTATTGTACAGTATCTGAGTTACTGAATATTTAAATCAAGCATTATATAATTATATATCACTTTTTGGTTTTTGGACAGGGCCATACTGTATAGCTCAAGTTGGCCTTAAACTCTTGATCTCCCTGCCTCAGTCTCTTGAGAGCTTGGATTACAGGCTTACATCACCACACCAGCTCAGTGTACTTTCAGAATGTGTACAGTTATATATGCATATAAAAAGACAGACACACACACACAGAGGACTGGCTGTCTTTGTGCTTAGCCAACTTTAGACCATTGTCCTTTTACCCACAGGATTATAAACTGTCTCCTTGGAGAGCCAGCAGATTTTTTTAAATTTTATTTTTATTGAATTTTTGCAAATTTCATACAATACATCTTGATCATATTTAGACCTCCTCCCTTATCTGCAACCCTCCTATAGCCCACCCCCATCCGATTTCATGCATTCTGTCATATGTTAAGGCCTATTGAGCCAAGTTTGTGTCCCCAGATGTCCCTTGGTATGGTTTCATCCACTGGAGCCTGGTCAACCAATGTAGCGTCACTCCTTTAAAGAAGACCAACTCTCCCTCACCCAGCAGTGCTCAGGTACCAATAGTTCCTCAGCTAAGGTTGGGGCTTCTTACCAATTTCCTCAATTCTGTGCTGGGTTTTTGTCTGGTTTGAGATTACATGGGTCTTGTGCATGATGTCACCATTACTGTAAGTTCCTATGAGCAAGTTCCTAGCTGTTTGGAAAGTTCTATTTCCTTGTGGTCTTTTGCCATCCCTTTCCACCCCCTCTTCCATCATGGTCGCTGAGCCTTGGGTGGCAGAGGTTTGATATAGATGTCCTATTCAGGATTAAGCATGCTGCTGTCTCTCATTCTCTGCACTTGGGCCAGTTGTGGCTTTTTGGGTTAATTACCATCTGTTGCATGAAGAAGCTTCACTGGTGAGAGTTGAGAGGTATATTAATATTCTTTCTGCCCCCTGTTCCACTATGTTCCCTGAGCCTTGAGTATAGAGGTTGCATTGTAGATGTGTCATTTAGGGCTGGGCACCTCACAGACACTTATTCTTTGCATTTGACCAGTTGTGGAACTCTGTAATAGTTTGTATCTGTTGCAAAAAGAAGCCTTTTTTTTTTTGTTTGTTTGTTTTTTGGTCTTTTTGAGACAGAGTTTCCCTGTAGCCCCAGCTGGCCTGGAACTCAGTTTGTAGACCAGGCTGGCCTTGAACTCACAGAGATCCACCTGCCTCTGTCTCCCAAGTGCTGGGATTAAAGATGTCCGCCACCACGAGTTGTGAGAGGTACACTTGTCTTAAATATAAGAATACATATTTAGAATACAGTAAGAAATTATATTGGTCTAGGCATGTAACAAAAGCAGGCTTTTCTCTAGGATCTATGGCCTCTCCAGCCATGTGTATTTGGCTATGTTTATAGTACCATATACGTTCCCTTCCATTGAGAGGGCTTTAAGTCCAGTTAGGTAGCTGTTGATTACCCCTAAGATAAAAGTCCCATTACTGTACCAATAGAGATAGTTTGCTGGGCCAGTCATTACTGCCAGCACATTTTCATTCCAAAAATGAAGGATGCCACGTGGAAGGTCTGGGGTGAGGCCAGAACAAAGGGCCTGAGATGGGTTATATGGAGGTTTGGAGTTCTTTGTCAAGTTCTTCAACATATTTCTTAACTCCTTTTTCTCATTTAGAACATGAGTAGTTATCTGCATCCTACTGTATAAACCCAGGTGTTTTGTGGTAGTGCTTTAGAACTCCTGAGAAGAAACACTGTAGGTCCTCTGCATCTCATGTCACGATCAGTGTCAGACAGTCTTCTATAGGCTGCTAGATTTGGTGTGCCTTAAAGAAGTGAATCAAGTGGACTGGAGAGATGGCTCAGTGGTTAAGAGCACTAGCTGTTCTTTCAGAGGACCTAAGTTCAGTCCACATGGCAGCTAACAACCAAGCTCCAATTCCAGGGAATCCGACACCCTCTTCTGGTCTCTGCTGGAATTGCATGTACATGGTGCACTTACATGCAGACAAAATATTCATACACATAAAATAAAAATAAAAGAAGGGGATCAAGGAAAATAACTTTTCAGACATATGTGCAGATATATATGTATGCCTTTATTTGTGTAACTACAGGTTCAGAAGAGGAATTTCATAGAGAATATTATCCCAATCATCATCTCCCTGAAGACTGTGCTGGAGAAAAATAAGATTCCTGCTCTACGGGAACTTATGAACTACCTCAGAGTAAGTAAGAAACTTGTCTTTTGAGATTTTTACCCTCTTCTGCCTCAAGTTCATAACATAGGGACTTCTGCCAGCCTAGATAGCAAATGATAAGAACTCAGAATGCTCCTAACCCTACATTGGTCTGTTTAGACATGTGCCTGCCAGGCCAGCCTGTGACTGCTGAAGACTTTGTAATGAGGACTTTGAGATACTGAGGGGTTTGGCCAGAGGTGTCACAGAAGTTCTGTCGTGCAGCTAAATGGTTGAAGAGCAAACCCAGTGAGCTGAGCATATATATCCTTGGTTTGATCCTAAGGATTTTCTCTACTAGAATTGAGGAAAAGTCACTAGCTTAGTTAATTCAAGTAAGGGGTGAGGTGATAGGTAGTCACTGTGTTCAATTGTAGATGTTTGCTTGTCTCAGGTGGATATAGGCAGGAAGTCACTGTCCTGTGGTAGCTAGGGCAGGACAGGGGGGTTGTCTTAAGGTAGCTCCCATTCCTCAGCTCTCTGTGAAGCAGGGGACCATGAGAAACATAGTTTCAACAAAACTAGAGTGTGTTTACTTATAGGACAGGCCTAAGTGAGGCCTCAGGATATGACAAAAAGGCATTCAGAAGAAATCACATTTTTTCCTTTAATTTAGTACTTATTTTTCTGTTCACATGATATATTTTTCTTCATCAAAAAAATCTTGGGACCAGCAAGATGGCTTGGCAGATAAAGGTGCTTGCTGCTAAGCCTGATGACCTGAGTTCAATCCCCAGAATCCTCAGGATGGAAGAAGACAACTGACTCCCCCAAGTTTTCCTCTGACCTCCACATGTACACTGTGGCACATGCACCTTTACGCTAAATAAATGTGTAAATTTTTTTTTAATCTCCTTAAAAGGTTGTAGCAAAATTGCTCTGAATATAATTTTTCAAGTAGCTTTGTATACTAGAGGCAACCAGGTGGGGAAGGTGGAGAAAACGAGAATTTGCCATTAGTTTTTTTATTATCCAGAATGTTTTAAACTTCAGAGAAGTACACAAAAGAGCCTAGATTCTAAAGTACTTAAGCACTTAAGAACGTGTTTCTCCTTTTTCTGAGCTTATACCCTAAGGTCTCCACAGGGCTGCCTTCTCAGCAGCTGCTGGGGTTCCCTTTGCCCTGGGGAGCCCCCTTTCAGTGACAGCTGCAAAAGCTGTTGAGTTTCTGTCTGTTTTCCTGGATTTCCCTCTTGCTTAGAACTGCAATGTAGTTTTTCCTTCTTCTAATACTGTTAGGTAGAAAGATTTCTCTTACTTAAGAGGCCTTGTTCCTAGCAGCCTTCTTTAAGATCTGAGAATGTTCCTACCCAGATACTAAAGAGTGTTCCTGAAAATTTGCAGAAGACACAGAAATGGGATTAGAGCTTTAGTTGTGACCCCCTGGGCACCAGTGAGGAAAGTTGGGGTAGACAGATGTACAGTTTCCAGGCTTCGGCACTTCTGTGACCTATTAGAGAGACCTGCCAGAGCCAGCCTAGACAGGAAGCCTCCTCAGCTCCACTGTTACCCAGTAATTTGTGTCATGGTCACCTACTTCTGCGGTCAGTGTGAGCATAGTGTTTCCTCAGAAAATGCTGTTATGCTAAGTAACCCCTTGGTTAATGTAATAGAAATAGTCCCGCTGTGCATATTTCTGGATGGTTTATTGTTTAAGGTTTTGTCATGTAGCCCAGGTTGGCCTGGAATTCATGATTCTCCTGCCTTGGCCTCCCTTGTGTTAGGATTACAGGTGTATGCCACCACACCCAGCATGACCTCTTTATATAAGATGATACTAAAGAATGTTTCTGGGTCTGATTCAGGAGGTGATGCAGGATTACCGAGATGAAATCAAGGACTTCTTTGCAGTTGACAAGCAGCTGGCATCTGAAATTGAGTATGACATGAAAAAGTACAGTGAGCAGCTAGCCCAGGAGCAAGAGCTGGCAAAGCAGGCCGATGGGAGCAGCGTGGCTGAAGGTGGTAACCGGACACAAGCCCCACAGGTAGGGTGAGGCCCACCTAGGCTAACCAGCTGTCTGCAGTCATTTTTTCCTTACACTCCTCAAAATCCACATATGATCAGGTCAGTCAGAGTTGGGTCTTTGGGCTTGTCCTTGCTGGCCAGCACTATGTTCTCTTCTTTGATTGCATGGACAGTTACTCCTACATCTCCTGGTATGTCAGTGTTCTGATCATCTTGCGGCTGTCCTCCCCTACCCCCTCAGAGCATCATCTGTGGGGAGGCATTTCTGAGTGTAGCTGTTGGCCACATTCTGCCTGAGAAATCCAAACAGATCTGCTACATTAAAAAATAATAGACAAAACTTGCTACAAGCTTGTCTTTATGTGGCTGTTTGTTGATCTGTTTTAAAGAGAAAGTTGTCTTTGTTCAGGGCTGATACATTTTTAAACAGACTGCAGTGGATTTGTACAGCCTTTTTTTAAACAGACTGCAGTGGATTTGTACAGCCTTTGATACTCCTGTTCACCTCTTATAGGTTGCTCCTGGCTTACAAGTAGTGCCTGCTCCTGCCAGCCAAGAAAATGCTGATGTGTCTCTGCCAGTGAGCTTGCCTTCTGCACCTGGGTCCAGCTGCACACCAGCTTTGCCTCTCACACCAGAAACCAGGCCTCTGAAGATGTTAATGCCCAGTGCCAGGTAGGGAGCCCACAGAGGCGGCAGCAGGCTGTCTCTCATGGTGTTTTCAGAGCCATCTCTTCTGTCCCCACCAGGCATCAGCCAGAGCCTCCTGCTCACTGTACTGACACCTCATACCACACGTTTCCCTGAGAAACTGGAAAGAGGATGGTTGAAAGGAAGTGGGTAGGGATTGCTGCCTCCACAGTAGTCTGCACTAAGTGCCAGTGGCATGTTATCCACAGGCCCATGTCCCTGAGTACCATTGCAATCCTGAATTCTGTCAAGAAAGCCGTGGAGTCCAAGAGTAAGCATCGCAGTCGGAGCTTAGGAGTGCTGCCTTTCACCATAGAGCCAGGAAGCCCAGAAAAACCCAGCAGCCATGGTAAGTATTAAGGTTGACACTGGTACAGTGAGTGTGTGCAGCTTCCAAAGTGCAGGTCTCATTCCTTTTAAAAAGCTTCCTGTTGTTCTTAAAAGAACATCAATTGGGGATTTAGGACTAAGGGTAAGAAAACAGTGCATGTCTGTGCTAAATGATTTGGGGAATGGAGTGAAAATATAAGTCATCCAGCCCTTCTCTTCACACACAGTGTTGTGTATTTATAAAATTGTGATCTTAGCGTGCACTGTTTAATAGCTGACTTCCCTTCACACACTTATAATAACAGTTAAAAAGTGCCCATGAATAGCTGGGCGTGGTGGCACACACCTTTAATCCCAGCACTCAGAGGCAGAGGCAGGTGGATCTCTGTGAGTTCAAGGCCAGCCTGGTCTACATAATGAGTTCCAGGACAGCTACAGGGAGACCCTGCCTCAAAAAGACCCCCCCCCAAAAGAAAGTTCCCATGAACTTTTCTAAACTTTTGTCCCAGTGGTTTTATAGCATTCCATCTTAATTAAAAGTACCAAGGCTTTTATTACTTCTCTATTCTTGGACATATTGGTGCTTTTCAGTTTTTTGATATAAATGACATAGTAATCCTTATAAATATAACCTTATGTGTTTAATTATTCCCAGTGGCCAAAGACCATAAATATTTTAAAACCTTAAGCTGATTGTGGTCTTTTAGACCTGTCATCCCAGCACTTGGAAGGATGAAGCAGGAGGATTGCTGTGATTTCCAGGCCTGCTTGGGTTATAGAAGTAAGATCCTGTCTCCAAAAAAATTAAATAAAGTAAATAATACAAAAGTACAAATAAAACCTATAGCCCCAGCTGGCCTGGAATTTGCTGTGTAGACCAGGCTAGCCTCGAGCTCACAGAGATCCACCTGCCTCTGCCTCCTAGTGCTGGGATTAAAGGTGTGCGCCACCACACCCAGCACATATGAACATTTTAAACAGTGGCAGTTTATCATATATATATCTTATGTTTTCTCTTTGTTTAGCTGTATGACATTGCTTTGCACTTTTTGGACAAATAAAGACTTTTCTGTTCTTTCCTAGTATCTTCCTACAGCTTGGAACAAGAGTCTGATAGAGTTGCGAAGCACGTAGCTAAACGAGCAATCAGCACCCCGGAGCGTAAGTAGCCAGTTTAAACAGGCCAGTTCCCTAGTCCCGGAGCGTAAGTAGCCAGTTTAAACAGGCCAGTTCCCTAGTCCTCTAAGTCACTGCACTCTTCCTGGAGTGGTAGTAAAACTTTCTGTGGTTAAGGTAGTCCTTAAACTTGGATAAAGGCTCTGTTGATGCTCAGTGCATTACCAGACTGAATGTTTCATAGTGATGGTCATTGCTGGATTGAGAATTTACTTAATGTTAAGCACTCTTCACGGTGTTTTGCATGCATTATCTCAGTTAAACCCCACAATGAACTGAGAGGGATCTTTGTGTGACCACTATGAATAGGTCACTAGCCCAGAAGTGGCAGTATGGAGATAGCCCTGTGCTGCTCAAGGAAGTGCTCCACTGGTCTGCCCTAGCGAGCAGTCAGAGGTTAGCATGCATGTACCTCGTGTGCTCTGGAATTCTGCCCTGAACAGACCAAGACTGCAGATTCAGGGGTGGTTGAAGATCATCCCCAGCTGTGCCAAAAACTGTGCGTCTCCTTCTTCACTGTGTGTTTCACCCGAACATCCCAAGTTAGAACAACTTCTTATTGTCTCCAGTCTAATCACAACCATTATTTTGAGAGAATTATTGTACAGGTTTAAGAGTCTTTATTCAAAATGCTTGGGACCAGAAATGTTTATGATTGTAGGTATTTTTAGATTTTGAAATATTTGCATATATCTAATGAGGTATCTTTGGAATGAAACCCAAGTTGAAACACAATGCATTTATGTCTCATATATACTGTATATCTATAGCTAATGGTAATTTTATACAATAAATTTAGTGCACCTGTGTTTTAACTACCACCATGAGATCATATGTCGAATTTTATACTTTGACTTCATATTGGCACTCAAAAAATTTTAGATTTTTAGGTCATTTCTGATTTCCAACTTTCAGTTTATGGTTGTTGAACTTCTATAAAGAAACTGTTACTGTCCAACATATATTCTCTTATCTGGAGGGCCTGCCTGGTGTGCCACATGCCCACCCTCCATCTCTGCGCCAGCTGTGTACTTGCAGGGTGCCTCTGTCAAACCACACCTTTCTCTACTCTCCCAAGTCCTCATCCAGAATGCACCTTCCTTGCCCCTTCATGGGAGAGAGGCTCCAGACCTCTTTGCCTCTGTCCTTGCTGTTTGTTGTAAGCTGTTTTATTCCCATTTCCATGGGGCCAACCATAAAAGCCCTCGGTAGGGGTCACACAGCAAGAGACCTGTTCCAAAGCACCAGATTGCAACTTCTGTGTTCCCTCTCTAAACCTGTTTTCCTAGTTTTGATCCTGTGCCCCATGAGCTGAGAACAGAGCTATTCTGTGCAGTGATGGGGCAGTATGACATAATGCCTTCAGTCAACATAGTGTCACAGAGCACCTCCTGGAGTTTGGCTACTTGCTTGTTGGTTCTGCTAACTTACAATCTTATACTAGTTAAAGGGTTATAGGTAATTTTCATGCAGGACCTCCTTTTAACAGAGTATGGATGAACAGAACTCCCACCATACTTCTCCTTAGATGACAACTGGGTAATAACAGTTTTTTATATGAAAAGCAGTAACTAATTTTGGCTTGTTATATACCAGCAGGTGTGATGTTAGATATGTAAAATAGTCCTCCTCTTTCACAGAGAAAAGTTTTTATGTTCTGTGTTCCTGGCTCTGGGGAACCAAGTGCTTCTATTTTGGCAGTTGGGTACCATATGCTAAAGAATGTATTTCATTTCTCCCTGATCTCAATCTTCACTTGGTTTCCTGGCAGTATGTGTTTCTCAGCAGTGAAATCTGGCATGGTGCGTTAATGCTGCTTTAATTTGCATGTATGGACCAGCTTTGATGGAAAATCAAACTCAGGTGTCAGTGGGTCAGGACAGAATGTACTCTTTCTCCAGCTGTTGATATATTTCTGTCTATCTCTACTCTGAACCAAGAAGGAATGCCTAGAAATGGCCCCTATTCACTCTTCTCCCAATTACTATACATGCTAATATTCCGAAGTCTAAAAATACCTGAAATTGTAAACACTTCTGGTCCCAAGCATTTTAGATAAGGGATCCTCATCCTGTAATAAAATTCTCTCAAAATAATGGTTTTGATTAGGTTTGAGACAATAAGAAAGTAACTGTTCTAACTTGAGCTGGGAGAATTACAACACTTCAGAGCACACAGTGCAGCCTCCAGCATGGCTCGTAAGTACAAAGGCAGAGGGACTTTGAGGATGCAGTCTCAGTGCTACAGAATCAGCGAGACCACTGTTCCGTTCAACACTTCAGCCTACCAGTGGTATTCAGATGAACAGTGGTTTTGTTAAATGGAAAGGAATAATTATTCTGAGCTAACATTTTACCTGAAAATCTGTAGGAACTTTTAGCAAATCCCACTTGCTATTATAATCCAGGCAACAAAGATTTTTATTAGTGTATATTAATATAATAATTAAAAATAAGGTAATGGGTCTCATTTAATATTTAAGACATCTGTATATTTTGATGGTACCCTTTTATTACACTGACTCTCATTCCTCTTCCTGGGTAACCCCTTTTACTTGCATATCCTGAGTCCGACTTCTATCACTTATATGATCTCCAGCTCCCTCCATTTTCCTGCAAATAACGTAATTTTGGGTTTTTTTGTAGTGGTTGGCTAAAACTCCATTGTGTACATATACACCATATTTTCTTTATGCATTCATATGTTGGTGGGCAGCAATGTTAACTCTGTAACTTCACTACTGTGAATAGTGCCACAGTAAACATAGGTATATAGGTCTGTATTGTATACTGGCTTTGAGTCCTTCAGGTGTATACCTAGGAATTGGTGTAACTAAATCACATGGTAATTCTGTTTTTATTTTTCCACAGTGGTTATACTAGTTGACAGTCCCACCCGCTATGCACGAGGGTCCCTCCCCACCCCCACCTTGCATCCTAGTCAACATTTGTTTTCTTGATGATAACCATTCTAACTGGGTTGAGATCCGATCTCATTTCCATTATGATTTGTATTTTCTTGATGGCTAGGGATATTGAACATTTTTAATGTATTTATTGGCCATGTATAGTTTTGAGAACTTAACTATTCAATTAAATTTGCTCATTTATCAGTTGGATTTTGATTAGTATTTTTTTTAATTCTTCATATACTCTGGATATTAGCCCCATCAGAGGAACACCTGGCAAATGTTTTCACCCATGGGCTTGCTTGTTCTGTTGTTTCCTTCGCTGTGCAGAAACTTTGTGCTTTGATACAATCCCATATCTCATTTCTTGCTATTATTTCCTGCATCATTGGAGTCCTATTCAGAAAGTCATTGCCTGTGCTTGTATCTTGAAATGTGTGCCCAGTGTTTTCCTCTAGAAGTTTCAAAGTCTTACATTAAGGCATTTGATCTATTTCAAGTTGATTTTTGCCAACGATGAGGGAGAGGTCCAGTTTATTCTTCTACAAGTAAATAGTTTTCCTAGCATCATTTATTTGTTGAAGAGGGTTGAGTTTTTTCTTCGTTATATTTTTCTGGCACCTTTGTCAAGATTTAGGTGACTCCAGCTACATGGGTTTGTTTCCAAATCTTCTACTCCATTCATCTGTCTGTCATTCCAGCTGCTGCCATTTCTGTTACCAGGGCTCTGTATAGCTTGAAATCAGGTCTTCTGGTCCTCCAGTATTGTTTTTGCTCAGAATTTGGTTATTTGGGGTCTTTGTGCTTCCATATGAATTTTTGAATTGTTTTTTTTTCCTGCAAATATCATTGGAATTTTGATAAGAACTGCATTGAATTTATAGATTATTTTGGTGACAGCCATTTTCATGTGATTTATGCTGATCCAGGAACATGGGAAGTCTTCTTTAATCATCTGATATCTTCTACATTTTCAATGTTTTATAGCTGTCACTGGAGTCCAATCCCCCCTAGACAGCCCCACGTTTTGCATTTTTGTTTGAGGCTATTTTAAATGAAATTGCTTTCTTGATTCTCATTCTGCCTTTGATTCTAAGCAGAGTGCACCACATCAATACATGTGCAGAGGTTGGAGACTCATTACCTGGAATGCATAGAGACTATCAGATGGGAGAAGTAGTATGTATGTGAGGGGAGAGATCCCAGTGACTTTGCAGGCGGAGACTTACAGGGACAGGAATAAGCAGCCCTGAGCTACTGTGGTGGCAGTGACAAAAGATGGAATTCTTTATCAGTCTGTGCACAGAGCCTGAGTAGCTGTCAGGGATATAGCATTCCAGTGGATTTCAGCACATACCTTAGAAAGGTTCAGTCTGCCCTGGGGAGGTTCAGAGTGTGGAGAATGGTGTGAGCTCTCGACTCATTTCATACATGGCCATTGGAGAGGGCCTCGGGTATGGGTTTCCAAATGCAGCAGGATGGGTTTCTGCTCCCTTATAGGGCTCCTAGCAGCTTGGTGGGTGGGCAGTGCATCAAAGCTACACCTGCAGGCAGGACTCCAGGATGAAGTGATGTGCTATGGGCAGGTGACAGAGTGATTGATATACACAAGTCCGACAGGCCAGGGCCTACTAGAGAAAGGTCATCCACGCACCTTATGGACACGGGCGGACTACACCATGTGCATGTGGCTTCTGTGTTTGTAAATGTGTGGTGCCAGCTCACACTGGTGGATTTTAGCTTCTTCTTGATAGGCAGAGCTATCAAGTTACCAGGGCAGTAACTTACCTGTTCTTTAATTCAACATGACTCCAGTGACATAGAAGATAATAGCTAATAAATTATATCTTTAGCATTAACCTTGTTCCAGGTACTGTACTAAAACATTTGACATCTCATCTAAACCTGACCTTTGTGAGCAAAGTTTGTTTTTGTCCCCAGTTTGGAAATGAAAAGATGAGGTTCTGCTAGTGAAACAGAGCCAGATCGCAGTCCCAGTCTGCTTTAGTGTGTTTCTAAGTGCCATTCTCTCCTCCCTCCTCAGGGTGGGCTGGAGGATAGAGAGGCCTTGGAGGTCAGGGAACCATGAAAGATCAAGAGTAAGGGGAGGTTAGACTAAGATACTCATTGTGGAGGAGGAGGAAAGGTACCAGGACGAGATACCTGAGGGCAAAAACAGAAAGGGTAGTTACTGGTCCCATAAAGTCATAGCCAGTTATTCCTGGCAGTTTTAGCCTCAAAGGACCACATATTGGTCTTTTTAATTCATAAGAACAAGGAAGGGAAGTGTCATGGGGTGTAAGTAATGAGTTTTGAGGTCTCTCTAGGGAATCTAGGTGAGGTACAATAGAAGTGCAGAGCTAGGACCAAGAAGGGAGTTAAGAGTCATGGGCATGTGGCAGTTGTTGAAGACATGAGCGTGGGTGAGAGGCTGTAGCTGTGAATAATGAAACCTAGCCTACAGTGCAGCCTTAGAAGGGCCATATGGAAAAGGGAAGTCAGGAGAGACTGAAGGGTGTTTCAGTCTAGGTAAAGTCCTGAGTCACACCGAGGCTTTTGTATATGAGGTAGAGCCTCATGTAGAAAATGAAAACCGGTAGAGCAATGAAAACTGGAGTAGAAAGAACTTAATGGCTAACTCACTTAGGTGCCTGCTTTTGATGCCTGTACAGTTCCAAATTTTACTAACAGTATGTTTCCACCTTTACCCAGAGTCCATCAATAATGTCACATTTGGAGCAGGGGTCAGCTACATAGGGACAACACCGCAAACTCCATTTTCAACCAAAGGCAAGTTCTAGGTTCTCTTCTTGTAGCTCGCTACAGCTGCCTTTGAAGTTCTGAGAAAACTGAATGTTTGTATTTGACTGCCTTTCAGAGAAAGTTGGAGCCCAGGATCAAGGAAATGACATTTTATGTTTATCGCTTCCTGATAAATCGTAAGTTTTCTGAAAGGTTTCTTTTCAGGGGGACATTTTTGTCAAGCTTTTTATTTAACTGTATGATTTTATTTTTTTTGTTTTGTTTTGGTCTTTTTGAGACAGTGTCTCGCTGTAACCCCAGCTGGCCTGGATCTCGCTATGTAGACCAGGCTGACCTCCCTCCAGAGTGCTGGGACTAAAGGCGTGCGCCACCACACCTGGCTTAACTGTATGATTTCTTTCCCCAGGTCTGCACAGTCTCCACAGTGGAATGTAAAATCTCTGACCAGGAACAAGGGCAACCTAAGACCCAGCAGGAGGTCCCTCCGCAAGACCCCCCTGAAGATGGCCAACTAAAAGTTGGTCCAGCGAGTGTCCAAAGATTGCTGTGGGAACTTTTGCCTTTTGCATGTAGAAGGGAAGAAGTGGATCACTTGGCCTCCACCTGGGGGATGCTCCTTATACAATACCAAAGCTCTTCCCTAGGATACCAGCACTCGCTTTGCTCCCCTTGTGTCTGCCTATAAACCTTCCCATATTTCTCTTTATGATACTTGTTCAGATTTGTAAATAGAGAAATGACATATTTAGACTTTCTTACCCTAACATTAAGTTATTTAATATTGTGACATTCTATTTGAATGTCAAACCTATTGTGGCAAGTTACAATCTGGTCATTAGGAACACACTTTTAAAAACTTCAGCTTTCTTTTATATAAATTAAGCTTCTATTGGCTTGTTTGAATTCCTTATAGGAGATATTTTCCCATAACCAATAACAAAGTTTTGACTGAAATATTTTTCTATTATTTGTAATTGCAGATTTTATTCAAAGTGTTCATCCTTTCTGTAATGAAGTAATAAAAGGTTAAGTATGAATACAGCCTAGCATTCAGTAGAACATTTCTGGTTTGGGAACAAGGCTCTATTGGTGGTCATCTTAACTAAGTACTTAAGAAGACCAAATCCTTCCTGTTAGGAAAAGGATGATCCTGTCCTTAGAGTTTGGTTCACCCGCCTCCCTGCATTTGTTCTGGGGTAGAAGCTTTGTCTCCCTAACAGTAGACATCATCATTAGAATAGTAGGTAGGACTCCTTCTTTGGAAGAAGTAGCTTCATGACCCTTTGGCAGAGTGGCACTGGTGCTGACATGACAGTGCTGAGGACTGCACTACATCAGGGACATCATTGAGTTTCTTCTGTTGGTTCTGTTACAGGAATTTCATTTGGGGGCTAGAAAGATGGTTCAGTGTTTAAGACCAAGTACTGCTCTTACAGCAGACCAGGATTTAATTCCCATCACCCAGGTTGAGCAGCTCCTAACAGACTTAACTCAAGCACCAGGGGGTCTCTTTGGGCTCCTGCACTCACTTATGCACATACCCACATAAGCATAATTTAAAATATTTTTATAAAGAAACACCAAGAATACCCAATCCAAACAAACACAATTGGGTGTTGTGGTTTGCTTGTTTTGGAGATGGGGTCTTGATATGTGATCCAAGACACTTAATTGGCCTCAAGCAATTTTCTTGCTTCAACCTTCTAAGTAACTAGGACTACAGGCATTTGCCACCATGCTTGGCTGGTGTCCCCCTGTCCCACCCTATACTAACCCAAGACTCCATGCATGCTGGAAAGCCCTGTAGTGCTTAACTACACTCCAGCCCCCCAAATTACTATATTTTTAGTGTACATGTGGTAGTTGGATTTGATGGAGTCACTGTGCTCTGCCATAAATAAACTCTGACAATTAGGGAGTAAGTCACACAGCTGTTCTTGGGTGAGCAAACTTGGCTCCAGTGCATATTTCCTTATAGTGCTAGAACTGTACCTTTTCAGAGTATGTGCCTAATAATACTTAGAATACAGGGTAAATCTAATGTAATAAAGAAAGAAATGGTTTCACTTTTAAAGCTTTTATAAATGGGGTTTAACAAACAGCAAAACTGAAGATGTATTAGTACAAGTTGTAACACCTAGGTACAACATCCATATCAAAGGTCAAAGAACAGCCTCTTTTAGGCCTCTTCAGTCTTTAGTCACATTTATATCCCACAGATGAATGAGCACTCCTTCTATCTGTGGCTTTATCCTGGGCCACTGCTTTCCAGGCTCACGTGTGGCTTTGTCAAACCTAGTTCCCATGGCACTGTGGCAGAAGGCTTTAGGCAGCGGCAATACAGCTACTCTAATGCTTTGACAGCCACAAGGAGGATAGTATATTGTTCCTCAGCAGTCAAGACTGGGTCAGCTACCCCTTTCTACCAAGAGGAAGGAGAGGAGGGGCAGTGTGATAACTGCATTCATGATGGAGGTGCAAGAGAAGACCGGTACCACTGAGCAAGCACAGAGCTGCCTGCTGCTCCTTCCAGGATCTACCACACAGCATTTCACATTACTTAAGAAAAAAGTCAGAATGTCTCAAGTATTCAATGAAAAAAAAAACAAAAACAGCTGAAGTATAAAATTAAAGATGACAAAGTGGCTAGCTGCTACATAAAACATCCTTCAGGCGCAGGATGTCACATCATGATTCTAACATGGTGACGTATTTGAGGCCAAGAACATCTGCTCTTGAAGAGCAGAGGCTTTTGAATGGTGTTTCTAATGTCCCCATCAAATGAGCAGTGTCTTGGGTAGATAAAAGATTTAAAATAAAAATTAGAAAACTGCTTTTGGCTCAGGCATTTTACTTTGCTCATCGTCAGGCTTTGTACCTCAGCCGCACCTCCAGATACTCTTCAAAGGGCTAGACTGGCTGCCACCACACAATGGTTTGTCATGAAGGAGACAGCCTGTGGTGTTGAGATGTTTTCTTCACAGCAAAGAGGAACAGCAGGATCATTTTCTTTTTTAAAATATTGTAGTTGACAAGTTTGGTTTCAAAATTGCCTTTGGCCCTGGATACTTACTGACTACACAAATAATTAAAATGAATTTTAAAAATAAATAGCCCTGACTACTTTGTTTTGTAAGCTATCCAAAACAGGAGTTCTGTCACAGGAACCAAAAGGCTGGGATGCCACATGGCTACCAGTTTTCCTGAAATTCCTACCTAGGAACCGGTGAGCATTGCACAGCCCAGAACGCTACCTCTGAAGTTAATTAGGGCACCAAGCTGAGGTCAGGGCTGTGCAGATGGAAGTGGGTATTCCATCCCACAAAAGTTAGTGACCCAAAATGACCTTGACCACATTGCCTTCCACTAACCCCAGGAGCCGGCCAACATGGTCTGTACATGTGTGTCTTTGGGAATAGCAAGCAGTTTTAGTGATCTCAGGAAGAGACTATTCAAAGCTAACCTGGAGTTCCCAAGGGTTCTTATACAAGCTAGATTGGAATCCTTTAATGGCTTCCTAAACAATGGTCTGATGTACAGACAGCATGTTTTCTTATGAAAAATGCCAAAAGTTACTGTCAATAAAGGAATGTTCCAGTCAGCATCCTTAAGGGAATTCCTTGAGTCAAAGACTTTATTCTTGTTATTTTCCAATTTAAGACTAGTAGCTTGAACCTTCTACCTTAAGTTGAAATCTTAAAAAAATAGGTTTTAAAACACTATATGACAATATATTTACAGTTTATATAGAAATTTTCAATAATCAAAATACATCTTTAGCAAAATTTAGAATGTTAAAATTTTATAAAATAAGCAAGACCAATAGAAAAGCATATTTCAGTACCATTTCAGACTTAGATTAAGACAATGGTTTTCCCTAAATCCTGACACCTCTTGGACAGGGAGGGCTCCCCTGGATAAGATCTCTCTTCCAACAAGCGATTTACCTTTCTGATTTGGGTTTTTATAAAATGCCGATCCAAACATTCTTCAGAGTGGACGTGACAATACTGGATGTTCAACAGAGCCCTGAAGAGGCAGTGATGGTAAGTCAGGGCCCATGGAGCAAAGCACTGCCTGGAACAGGCTTCATGCCATGCTCACATTGCTGCTGCTGTAGCACAGCACCTTGTCCTCTCCTGGCCAGTGTTGTCCTGGCTGCTAAAAAGCCCAAGGTAGCAGAAAGACCTTGACGATCACCTTAATCCCATGTGGGAATAAGGCCAGCACAGACTCGGGACACAACTGAACTCGTTCCACTTTTCTTGGTAGCTACTATGCCCATCTCGAAGAAGATTCTTTTATTCATGTGGCTTGTTAGAAAGTAAGAAAGCAGTAGTCAACTTTGGCCAAAACAAAAAGCTTCTGCATCTCTAGCTCTGTCCAGGTGCCCTGGGTTCACAGCCAGCCTTGACTGTAGTTTCCAACAGAGGTATTTGCATGTGCTCTCCCAGCAGCTGCCAGGTCTCAGATAACAAAGGACGATTTGTGTCTGAAGTCGCCCTGCAAAGGCAGCACAAAGAGTCAATTCTGAAGACTTGCTGGGTGGTACTGGAAAGGAAACACACTGATCAAATCAAATGTGGGCTAAACATGTCCCCCAAAGAGGAAACTAGGGGTAAAACTAATAGATAAAATCATCATTCTTAAGCAGTTAACATCCACTAGAGCTTGCGAACTGTGAATCCTGTCAGGTAAACACATTGCCATGTAGGGCCAAGGTGCTCAGGATGTGTATTAAAATTAACGCCAATGTAGGAGTATCCACTGGGTTTCCAAGCAGAAGGTAGTTTTCCTGACTAGACACACCTAGACCATGAGATTTTCTGCTCTCTTCCCTTACCTCCTCATTTGTCCTGATATAGTTAACTCCATCAGGCTTCCCTGGGTTCTTGTAACTGTGAACAGAAAAGGACAGTTCGGTGATGTGGTTACTGTATTAATGCCAGCCTCAACTTCACCTTCAGGCAAGGTGGGCTTACCTTTCTCCATCATGTTTATTGTTAATGAAGCAGCCACGTCTGTATGCACAGCAGATGCCCAATGTTATCAGGACCAAGACTACAAGGACGACCAGGACTCCCCCAATAATCCCGGCAATGTTCAGGTCATCTGCAGAAAAGGTTTGTGGGAAGAACTGATATACACTATCTGTTATTTAAAGAGACCTCCACCACCCACTTACCCCTCAGTCCTTTCATGCCTAACCTAGCCAGAAGAGGAAAGTGAGAACCTTAACATCTTTGCACCCTAGAAGATAACAAGACACTGTAATCCCTCATATCACATAGAAAAGGTGCTGGGACCTGTAGGGTTCAAATGCAGTTACACTGACAACTGTTATGAGAGACTTGGCATTGTATGAAAGACTAAACTCTTCTAGCTAAATGCCTAAGAATATTAGTAGTGGAGGATATAGTTATATGTAGTATTAAGAACCAGGATCCCTAAGGAAGAAAAGATCCTAATTTCCAGAGCCTGCCTTTGCTATAGATTACTTTGGGAAAAGAAAATTTCAGGGTTTAAGATATAAAAAACGCTAAATGGGAGGTGACCTTTCATTTCACTGTCTGTCTACCAGCCCCCTTAGAAGAAACTCTCCTGCAAATTTTTCCTCATTGCTATATACTAGAAATGCACTTGGTCAGTCTCTAATATGGAGGCTTTACTGGTTGTTTACCTTTAAGCAAATAAAAGCACATGGAAGAATGTAGGAAGCCTTACAGGAGTGAATGAGCCTAAAGGAGCTTCCAAAATTTGACAGAAGAGAAGCCCTGGAGCACCTGAACATAGACATGCCCAGCATATTGTTGGGTGCACCCTGGAGCCTGTGTGGAACAGTTCTCCCAATGATTCTAATCATCAAGCAGCATTGGAAAACACTGTTCTGGGGTTGGATGCAAAAGGGAAGAACTCGAAAAGCTCTCCAAGTAGCTCTGCACACCCTATTTACTTCTTCCTCCTCAGCACCTCCTGTCAACCAGCTCCCTAGAGAGGACATCACAGAACAGGGTAAAAATTAGGCTTTCAGTATCCTGAAAAAGTTACTCTAACTGGATAGGCTTTTTTTTTTTTTTAGTATTTTTATTTTATGTGTGTGAGTGTATTGTCTGCACGTATGTGAATGCACCCATGTCATGCAATGCCGTGGAGGTCAGAAGAGGGCTTCAGATTCCCCTAGAACTGGAGTTAAAGACGGTTCATAGCCGCCATGTGGGTTCTGGGAATCGAACCCAGGTCCTCTGTAAGAGCAGTCAGTGCTCTTAACCACTGAGCCATCTCTCCAGCCCCCTAACTGGATGGGTTTCTAGAGGTCTTATATAACTTGGTGTTTTGCTAGTTCTGTCAATTACAAAAGGTGTTTATCACATTCTGTGAAAGTTACATGCCTGGTCTTGTTTCTAACACAAAGACCCTAGGAAGTCTGTCTGGAGGATGGCTTAGACTGTGCTTTCTCATACTCCCTTCAATCTCGCCAGTGGATTTCATGAATCCTTTCATCTTCAGAAAAAGCTGATTCATGGCAGAACTTATTTCAACTAAATGCTCTATTCATTTCCCAGTCTTCAATGAGATCTTTTCAAAAAGTGACTCACAGACTTCCATCTCCTGTTCCTCGCACCTGGCTGCACCTGCGTCGTTAGAAGCAATGCAGTAGTACTGCCCAGAGTCCTCCTTGTGGACAGCACTGAAAACCTGTTTCAGAAAATGACAAGTGCTACTTTAATCACAGGGCAACTCTCTGAGGTACAGGCACCAAGGCTGCCACCTGAGGTCTGGATGAGGCCACAAAGCAGTCAGTGTCTGTCTGTGCATATGCTGAGTCACTATGGCTTCCCAGGAACATCCTTCTGCCATGTTTCCCTGACACAACTGCCTCAAAGCTTGTAGTAAAGAATCCCTTTGGGATGCAGAGTAGCAAAACTGGGCGAAGACTACTCTGAAGTCAAAGGGATTCTGACAATGATTTCTTTAAGCACTGCTCTGAGGATACAAATACCAAACATCCTATTACAAGTCACGATTACCACATACAGTTGGAGATTCACAAGCTGATGAGAAGTGGCTTACAGACAAGGCCAGCCTGTTTCCTGGTACATGACACCCTGTTTCCCCTCCCCCAGGTGACCTCCCACTACCCTGTATTATTCTGAAGCAATTCCAGACATGTTTATCTATAAATATTTCAGTATGTATCCATAGAAGATAAGAACTTGTAAAAAGCTATAATCACAATACCATTCTCTGTAAATTAATAATTGCTTAATGCCAAATATCTGCCTAGTAATCATACTTCCCTCTCACGATGATTTGTACAAATGAGTATTCAAACTAGGATTCCTGAATGCACACTCATTTGTTTTTTGTGCTCGCTCAAGTCTCTCTTAAATTTATAGGTTTCCCTTCCTCTTTTTTAACCCCTTAGCACTTGTTTATAAAAGGAGAAGAGCCACTTTTCCTGTAGAATTTCTGACATTCTGAATTTTGTCTCCTGTTTTGGACAGCAGTTTCACTGGCTCTCCTTAAGCACCCTAGTCCCAACTAAGGCTTCTCCATCCTCACCTTAAAAAGAGATCTTACCAGAGTGCCTGTCTCAGCGTTTAAGAGAAAAGAGGAATTGCGAAATCTGGGGTTGGCTCTGGAATCTGTAGGTAGTGGCACATTGTTGCGGTACCAGCTGTAGTGAGGCCGGGGATAGCCCTCGCTTTCCTGGCACTGCAGTGTCGCTGTCTTGCCTACAGGCACAGCCTTCGGTACTCTGCAGACCGGAGTTACTGGCTTCACTGCAGGCAAAATGTAGATTGGTGTTTAAAATCTCAGCACATAGCCCTATTCTTACCAAAGCCTAATGTAATAAACTAGCTCCAAAGAACAGCCCATTTTCAGACTGCCTGCTGCCTGCACCTGCCCACTCCTCAAGCTCATCCTATCCCATGTCTGATCCTATGAGGTTTCCACTTCCTCCACCTTCAGGAGTGAGCTAGGGAGGAAATTATACAAGGCAAGTCCCTATAGCTGGTACGGAGCAGAGCAGATGATCCATTTCCTATCCTCCCTACCCCAACTCTGGTAGCCTCAGCCTCATCCTCCCCTGTGTTCTCAGGAACAGAGCTCTGGAAGGGATGCTATCAGAATATGAACTGATCTCCTATTCTAGGGCTAAAGACTCATACAACTGGATGCAATGAAAATACTTGGCAATAATGGGATCCTACCTTGTACAATTAACTCAATAGTAATCTCATCAATCTCTTTGCGGTCATTTCGAGCAACAACCTCACAGCGATAGAGAGCCGAGTCTGACCGTGTCACATTCCAGATCCTCAAGGAAGTTTTCCCCAACACGTCTGTACGGCCTGCCAGGTCCCCTAGAGAAGAGAAGGCATAAGTACTGAAAAACCTCTTTAATGATGTTTGCCACTTGAAGACTTCTGGGACTGGACTTGAAGGCACAGTAAGAAAGACTACAGATGGGGTTCTATTCCTAGTCCTATGTAAAAGAAGTGAATTTTCTAAAAACAGGAACTATGACTTCTTTCTGTATGTAACCTGAGCATCAAAAATAGTAACTGGTATTTAAGTAAAGCCCGGAACTTTCTCTTCCCTTTCTCATCTCCAGGAGAGAACCCTCATTAAAAAGGAAAACAGAGTAAACATTTAAAAACTTCCACAAACAAGCCGGGCTTGGTGGCGCATGCCTTCAGTCCCAGCACTCGAGAGGCAGAGGCAGGCGGATCCCTGTGAGTTCAAGGCCAGCCTGGTCTTCATAGTGAGTTCCAGGGCTACAGAGAGACCCTGTCTCAAAAAGACCGAAAAAAAAAAAAAAAAAAAAAAACTTCCACAAACGATGCTGTGACAACTGGGTATCCACATGTAGAAGGTTCAGCCTGCCTCCATGTTCCACATTCAACAAATACCTACTTAAGAGTTAACAGTAAGAGCTGGGCATAGTGACCTAAGCCTCTAACTGCAGCACTCTGGAAGCTAAAAACAGGAGGATCTTGGGGTTGAGGTCGGCCTGGGCAACATTAACAAACTGCTGCCTCAAGAAGACAAAGCAAAAAACAAAGGCATAAGCATGTGTTCAATTGGAGTTATGTTAGATTTCATTAAAATGAAAAACGTGTGCTTTAAAGGACACAAGTAAGACAAAAAAATAATCCATAGAATGGAGAAATTATCTCCAAATCATGTATTAGAAAAAAGGACTAGGATCCAGAATATATCAATTCATAACTCATCCACAAATGCACAATCAAGTTTTAAAAATAGAAATAGGGGGGCTGGAGAGATGGCTCAGCGGTTAAGAGCACTGACTGCTCTTGCAGAGGATCTGGGTTCAATTCCCAGCACCCACATGGCAGTTACAAACTGTTCTTAACTCCAGTTCCAGGGGACTCCGAAGCTCTCTTCTGACCTCTGCGGCATTGCACGACATGGGTGCACTCACATAGATGCAGGCAATATACTCAGATACATAAAATTAAAATAATAAATAAATTTTAAAAAAAAATAGGATTTGAATAGGTATTTCTCCCAAGAAAATTTAGAGCCCCAAATATGCAAGTGATGCTTCACAGAGATACCTTTATATCCTCTAAGACTACTAAGCTCAAAGGTCAGTGTTTGTAAGCATATGGGCTTAAAAAACTTCGCTGGTGGGACTGTAAAATGGTTGAAGCCACTTTGAAAAGCAATCTGACAGTTTCTTCAGAAACTAAACATGCACCCACTACATGACTCAGCAGTTGTATACTTGGTCTTTTATCCCACAGAAATGAAAACTCAGGGTCCACACAGAAATGTGTTCAGAATACTGATGACACCTAACAACCTAGTTGTACAGCACTGATGAATGTATAAAATAATGTGGTATACTTACAATGGAGAATTACTCAGCTATAACAGGGAACAGGGTCTGATACATGCCATACATGGATGAATCTTGAAAATATTATGCTAAGTGAAGGAAGCCAGTCACAAAAGACTAATTCCTTATATGACATCTCAAGAAAATCTAGAGTGACAGAAAGTAGAAGGCTGCTAAGAGGTGAGGGAAGGGGGCTGACTGGCCATGAATATGGGGTTTCTTTCTGGCTGATGAAAAGGTTCTAGAATTTGACAATGGTGGTACTTTCACAGCGATGTGAATATGACAACAGCCACTGAATTTTCAAAATAGCGAGAGGTGTTTTTGGTATAGTCCCAATCTGAGTCATGAAGAGCCCTCCCTCCAGCCTTCACATTCTCTGTGATAAACCCTCTTCATCCTGCCCTATGTACTGCCTTTCTACTATACTTTAATATTATGGCTAAAAGCAAAATCTTTAATTTCCAAAAGGAGAAAGTTGTTTGTGTTGTTACTGTTTGTGGCATGGGCGATTAAGCCCAGGCCCTGTGCCTGCTAGCTCAGTGCTCTATTGTTATGCTATATCCACATTAGGGAAATAGGGCATCCCACTTGAAGATTTTTTTTTTAATTTTTAATTGTGTGTGTATGTGTGTGTACATGCAGGTATGTACACTCATGAATGCAAGTATATGCAGAGTCTAGAAGAGGGTATCATACCCCCTAGGGCTGGAGGTACAGGTAAGCCACCTGATGTAGGTGGTGGGATCCAAACTCGGGTCTTTTATAATAGTATGTGCTCTCAATTGCTGCGTCATCCCTCTTAGACTCCCCAAAATAAGTTGTTGGCTTTTAAAAAATTACATTATTTTAGTGTGTGTGTGTATGTGTATGTGTGTGTGTGTGTGTGTGTGTGTGTGTGTTTACACATACCACAGTGGGCAACTGCAGGTCAGAGGACAACCCATGGGAGTTAGTTCTTTCCCTCTACCGTGTGGGTTCCAGGGAACTCAGATTGTCAAGCTCAGTGGCAAGTGCCTTTAGCAGATGAGCTATCTCAATGACCCCAAAACTACATTTTTAAAAAATTTCTCACTTGGTTCCTCTGATAATCTAAATTATATGTACAATTTAGCAGGGTCAGCTTAAATACCAAAGAAACCAATATTTTTTCTAAGAATAACATTGTCCTTAATAATTTTTTCATTCATTTATTTATCTTGTGGGGTGGCAGGACATGCATACCACAGCATTTATGCAGAAGTCAGAGCACAATCTGCAGCGAGTCTGCACTCTTCATCTACCATGTGAGTTCTGGGCATCAAACTCAGGTCATATGAGCCATCTCACTAGGCCAAGAATGGCACTTTCTTTTCTTCCAAAATAAGGGGAGAGAAGGGTCCCATGGTTGCAGAAAAGCCTGGGTGTTCCGTATGGAACACATGGCTTGTGTGTGCCAGGCAGGTGCTCTACCACTGAGCTATGCCAAGAGCCCTTGGTTATTTTGTTGGGTTATTTGGGGGGGTCTTGTTTGTTTGTTTTGGATACTCTGCAGTTCAAGAGACTGAATCTAGGGTCTGGTGAGTACTAGGCAGGTGTTGCACCACTGAGCTACAGCTCTGGTCAACTTTATTTTTTTTTAAAGAGCATGAAAGTCCTGGTGATATGGAGAACTCACACCAGGAAAACTTCTCTGACCTGAACCTGCTATACTGGATGACCCTCCAATCCATGCTACCTCTCACTCTCCCTCTGTCCTTCAGCACAGTTAAGTCCTACCAATTCTCTCCTTGCACGTGCACTGCCTCAACTCAGACCACTATGAGCAACATCATTCCTCAGACTCTGTAAAGGAATTCTCATGTGCTCCTGCTCTGAGATTTGTACATTCCCAGTCTTTTCAGCAAAGCAGTCACGAGCCTTCCAAGCATGTGACCAGGTCACTTGCCACAGCACCTCTAGCGGGTACCATCTGCTGTCCTGGCTTGCCTTGCCTCATTTCTTCTCCATCTCCCTCTGTGGCTGCCTAGGCCCTAGATGCAGCTCTTCATACTGCCACACTTTCCCTCGCTTCTGTGTGTCCACACAGGGCATTCTTCCTGCCTCCGCATCTTTCTCCATTGGCACACTCACTATCTTGCCTTGCTAACTGGGCACTCTACACCCCCTGGCCAGATGCCACCTTCCTGACCTCCGTTCTCCCCTATTTTTTGCCATCTATGGCAGCCTATGCTGGTCTCAGTCCTGCCTTTAGATAATGTCCTGCTAGTCTGTTTGGCGTCCATCACCTCATAGGACATCCCTACCACTGAACACTGGACGCAGTGGTGGTGGCTCCATACTGCTATGACCATCTTTTTGGTAGACTCACATCACTCCTGTCATGGGTCACAACAAGATGACTGAGGAAACTGTTCACTGTAATTTCTCAGAAAGGTGGGCTATACATAGATTCAAGTCCTAAGTAATGACCTGGTATCTGCATTATAGGTACAAGGGGCTCAATACAGCAATACAAACTCCTTTTACCAATAACTGAAAAGAGTAAACTCAGAAAATCAACAATCCAACTACAGATGCAGGCTGGAGTTCTGGGGTAAGGTTCTGGTCATAAGCCCAAGCTGAAGCCCGCAGACAAAGGAGAGATGAGCAGCACAGAGTACTATGGGATCATACCTTGAATCTTGTTGTCAAAATACACATATGTGGTTTGGCCATCTTGGATTTTTTTCCATTCAATCCTAGGGTCATTTGTCTGTGAGTCCGTAATGATACAAGACAGTTCCACACCTAATGAGCAATGGAAGGAAACAATTCTTGGTAACTTGGAGCATATATGGGCTCTTTGTACATCAGTCCCTGTCAGCCACCTTTAATTCAAGAGAGGACTTTCATGCAGGTTGCAAGCCTAACCTCTCCAAGGCTCCAAGATGAGTTTTTTCCAGAAACACAACACAGGCATTTAAGTAAGGATTTTAGTACATGGAGCACACAGTCCCTTAAACATCTTGCATTTTTTTCATACGGCATTTGTCTGTTGTCTAAGTACAAGACCAGGCAGGATACAAATGGGAGCCGATGTAAACAAGCAGAGTGCAGTCCTGGTCTACCATGCAGAGTAGCCACCCTAAACACCCTTGGTCATTACAGCAGAGCAGGGGCTAGAGAGATGGTTCAGTGGTTAAGAGCACTTGCTGCTCTTGTAGCGAACCTGAGTTCTATTCCAAGCATCCACATCATCGGGTGGCTCCCAACCATCTGTAACCCTAGCACCAGTGGATGACGCCCTCTTTTGGCCTCTGCAGGCACCCACACACACACATACACAGAGACACACAAATATATAAGTAAACTTTTTTTTGTTTTTTAAGAATTTTTTAAAAAATAAAGGAGCAGGTGCTGAGCTGACTGCAGAACTCCCCAATGTCCACTAGAGGGGGCTCATTCCCCTCTGTGTTTCTTTGTACTTACTTTCAAATTCATGAACCACTGGGTTTCGATTGCTGGATTTGAGATTCACTGCCTCTACCAAGCAGCCTGGAGGGAAAAAGAAAAGTAAAATCAGAGACTCTACATCCCTATAACAGAAAGAAACCCTTGAGTAGAGCCCACAGCTTTCCCTTCCCTGGAGGTCTGGATGGCAGTCACAAGGCACACAGAGAATGAGAAAGTACATTCTTTAAAAATCTCTTAGAAACAAACAGCAGTTGACTGCTTTTTCCTTTCAGTATGACCTCTGGAAGGAACCAAGAGGAGAAGAATCCGAAACCCACATTCCTTCTCAGTCCCAAAGCTCTGGAGCTCTAAAGCCTTGATAAATGCTTCTTTTAAATATTTTTTTACTTTATGTGTGTGTGTACTGCTTCATCCATGTCATGCATGTCAGAGTCCCTGGAACTGGAGTTACAGGTGGGTGTTAGCCACCATGTGGGTGCTGGGAATCAAACCCAGCGCTCTTTTTTTAAAAAAAATATATTTTTTTAATTTATTATTTTTATTTTACGTGTATGAGTATTTAATTTATTATTTTTATTTTACATGTATATAACTGCGCCTGTGTCGTGCAATGCCGCAGAGGTCAGAAGAGGGCTTCAGATTCCCCTGGAACTGGAGTTAAGGACAGTTTGTAGCCACCATGTGCATGCCTGGAATCGAACCCGGGTCCTGTGCAAGAGTAGTCAGTGTTCTTAACCGCTGAGCCATCTCTCCGGCCCCTAAATCCAGTGCTCTTAACCATTGAGAACCCAGCCAAACACTTCTTTGTTCATGGTTTTGCCATTTCTTCCACAGACCCCTGTGGGTCTCTGTCATTACTCCCTCCTTTCCTCCTTTAGGCTTTGAGTCATGTAAACGCAATCTCGATGCCACAGCACAGCCCAAAAACCTAGGACCTCTCACCTTCAGGATGGCAACAGCCCTCTCTAGCTCAGTGATTAGCCAGCTGAGTCTACCTTGCTGTAGTTTCATCTAGCTTAGTACTTCTAGTCCATGAAGACATTTGCACCAGCCTTTGATGAAGTGAGAAAGAGAATACAATGATTTTTCAGGCCGCTAAGTTTGTAAAATTGATGTAATAAAGATATGCTGCCTCCATGGTCTCAACATTTTCCAACTAATCTTGGAGAAAAGATCACAATCACCTTTAAAATGCCATCCTTCCATTTCTTGCCTCTAAGATACTTGCCATCCCCCAAAGAAGGTTTTTATGTAGAAAACCTTTACTGACGGCTCTGGATATTGGCTTACTAAGCTTACTAAGCTACTACTCTGAGCTGGTAGCAGCTTCGATTGTGAAACTGGGAGTCATGAACCTAAGGCTTGAAGACAGAGTACATAGCTCCTCTAGGACACGATCTGCCCTCACTCCTCCTCCATTAGCAGGTTGCCAGTCACAACAGTCCATTGTTTCCTTTTGAGTCACACAATGATCCAACCATATGTATCCAAGCCAAGTATACACTAACTTATTTCCTTATTTCCTAAGAATTGACACTCATTTTTTAGCACAAGTCTGAAAAGTTTAACAAAAAGGAATGAAAGGCAGAAACAATATTCCCAAGCTGCTGCCACCTCTATGAAGAGTAGAACCAAAACAGCTGAAGATGATTTAGTTTTGAATAACCATGAGCAGCTACTTCTGGGAGTCGGGAGAAAATGCTGTGTTTACAGCACTACCTGTTTACCCTTCAGTCTGAAAGCTCCCAGAGGCCTGTTAAGGAATTATTATTCACCGCAAGATCCCTTCTAATGGAAGTGACCATGAACAGTTCTTCTGGTATAATCACTATGTTTAGATGACATACTAAGGGGCTAGAGAGATGGCTCAGCATTTTAAGAGCACTGGCTGCTCTTCCAGAGGACCGAGGTTTGAATCTCAGCACCCACATGGTGACTAACAACCATTGATGATTTCAGTTCCACAGGATCCAATGCCCTGAAATAATTAATAAATAAATAATAGATGATATACTAAAACTCTGACTTCAGAAACTATCACCAGGGATCTGTGTCTGACCCAAAGACCATCAAAGGGTCCTCTGAGGTGACTCATAGAAATATAAGACTGCATGACCCAATCTGGCCCTTTTTAAGAAAAGTATGAAGCCATACTTCATACTTTTCTTATTTCAAAGAAAATAAGAAAATGAATTAGAGAGCTTATAGTCCAAGAGGTATAGAGGAGAAGCGGCTTATAGGAGATAAGCAAATTCATCAACATGATACAAACACTAGAGCTGGCATCAGCAGGTAAATCAAAGGAGTGCTGACATAGGCCACTGAAGTTGCTACAGTGTCAGCACAGGGTCAATTTTCATGGAAGTCCAGTAGGCAAATGTTCACAATAAACCTCTAAGGGAAACTAAGCCAATTTGTTTCTCATGATCTAAAAGAATATAAGGAAATAGCTTTGAAGAAGGGAAATAATCGCCTCTTTTATTACTGCGTACTAAGACAAAGGAAGGTTAATACCTTCCTCCACTCCCAGGATTCAGGGATCTCTGGGGAAGAGAGACAAGAAGACTGTAAGAACCAAGGTTGTTGGACAGCTACAATGAAACAGTGTTCTCCAGACAGCAGGGCAGTTGCTTATATGAACTCACGGCAATTGTGACAGCATCCACAAGACCTACACAACCTCAAGTCAGACAAAATCCAGCTTAGGGGGTGGAGCAGAAGTCCCAAGCCCAGGTAAGAACTAGACAACTGAGAGCTGCTAGGAGAGGGAGAGTCAGTTTTCTTCAAGTATGTGACACTGGGTAGGCTGACCAGGTTCCAGGGGATAGACCGCATTGAAGAACATTTGGGGACACAAATTAGACCTGATAGGCCTTAAAAATAATAACAGAGGACTTGAAATTGGGCAGGGGCAGTAAGAAGGGGTGCACATAGGAGGGAGTCTGAATATAATCAAAATACCGTGTATGAAATTCTTTTAAAATCAATATTTTTCAAAAATCAGCAAAATTTGAGACAAAAAAATGAATTTTCTATACTTTGTCTTCTTTTTCTTTTGGTATTTTTGAGACCAGGTCTCCCCTATAGCCCCACCTGTCCTGGAACTCACTATGTAGACCAGGCTAGCCTCTAACTCACAGAGATCTGCCTGCCTCTGCCTCAGGACTGCTGGGATTAATGGCATGTGCCACCATACCTGGCTTTTTATACTTCTTATGAAGCCTGTGTGACCGCACTGATGTCACAACTACTCTAGGTAGGCCTCATACGCAGTTTTTGTGCCAATCCTAGGAAAAAAATATGTCCCAAGAAGATTCATTAACAGAGACCACTTCAAGACAAGAAAAGTTCTGGTCTCAGGATTATCGGCATCAGTTGGGCCCCAGACCTGAGAGGGACCAAGAGTTCTTTCTCAGAATTTCTACACTATTCTCAATAATACCTTTTTTTTTTTTTTTGGTCTTTTTGAGACAGGGTCTCTCTGGATCTATGTATACCAGACTGGCCTCAATCTCACAGAGATCTGCCTGCCTCTGCCTTCTGAGTACTTAATTAAAGGTGTGTACCACCAGCAGTTAACTTTTTTTTTGATATATCATCCACATTTATTGTTCATTTTTTCCCTATGGTTTCTAGTTGGTATTATGAATAGATTTTTGAATTATGTTTTCTTTTATTTGATTAAAAAAAAACTTTTATTGAATTTTTGTGTATTTCATATAGAACATCTTTTAAAAACATATTTTATTTATTATTTTTATTTTATGTGTATGAGTGTGTTGCCTGCATGTATGTGAGTGCACCCATGTCATGCAATGCCACAGAGGTCAGAAGAGGGCTTCGGATTCCCCTGGAACTGGAGTTAATATGTATGAGTGTATTGCCTGTATATGTATGTAAGGGCACCCATATCGTGCAATACCAGCAAAAGTCAGGAGATGGTGTTGGATCTTCTGGAACTGGAAATGAAGCCTGATACTTCCTGTCCTAAACTGGTTTTTGATGGGCCTCCCAAAAAGTTTGATTCTGTTGAGCAGCTTCACCACATATGGAAGAGACACTTCACACTTAAAATTCACAAATGTAAACTGCTTCTGTTTACTACTTTTATCTTTTGGAATTTTCGCCTATATTCCTGTCCTGTCCTGATGGAACAGCTCGAAGTATCATCATCTTCTCCTTCACCTCCAGGCTGCTCACAAAGAGAATGTAGTCAGCTGCCCTGGCCACTCCCATCTCCACATCACCCCTTTCTCGGGCCTAGGCCAAAAGATCAAGGCCTTGGGTCCTAGACTGCCCACTCTAGTAAACCACATTCTGAAGTCATCAAGGTCACACTAGCTCTCAAGAGGGCATCTGAGGAACACCTAAAGAAATTTGATGAATGTTAACACCATGGATGAACTTTGAAGAAGACATTATACTAAATAAATAGAGACATAAAATAAACACTGCATTATTTCATGTACATGCATTATACTAAACAAATAAAAAAATGTATTATTTCATTTACATAAGGTAACTAGAATAGGCAAATCGTAAGCAGAAAGTAGATTATACGCTACCAGGGAATGAGGAAAGGTTAAATATAGTTGTACTGTCTGATATACCTCTGTGATGAGAAAGTTCTAGAAACGGACAGCGGTGTGGTTACACATTGTAACTGTAAATAATGTCACTGAATGGTACACGTTAAAATTCAAAAATCAAATTTCATGTATATTTTACCAGAATAATTTTTTAAAATACTGACAATAAAAATGATAGTAAGGACACTGAAAAACTAGGCTACTCACACAGATTAAACACAGAAGACAGAGTGAAGCAGCATGGAGTGGGCCACCACCTCCACAGTCAGCTGTAAATACTGGATCTTATCAGAATACCAGACTCTGGCGAGAAAAAGTCTTTCAGTCCTACAGTCTCTGGGATTTTTCCCTTTTGACTAAACATAAGTTGGGCAGGAATGCTGTAGCCTACCTACCTGCTGGTAGTATTTATCAGCCAAACCTCTAAACATTAAAGCAGAATTGAAATGTCAAAAGCATAGAAATCATAACAAAATTATCATCAAAAATTGA